AAATTAAAAAAAAAAAAAAACTATTCATTTCCATCATGAGCTAGGACCTGCCACAGTGAATTTAAGTGCCTACCTTTTACCAGTTAATAACTATTTGCACCCCCATCTTTGTTCAGGTGATAGAACTGCTTTCTTGTTCAGGGATCTCTTGCTACTGCTTATCTCTGTTCAGCTGTCGTATATTTAGGACTATGGCTGGTGGTCATTCATGAAGTAAGGGAACAGTTAGAAGAGAGTTGAAAAATTCTGAGCTGTTACCCTTATTCTGAGCCTCCTAATCTTTATCCCCATCAGACAAGTTCAGGAAAAATCAGATACCTGTAATGCCTATGAACATTTCTTTAACAACCCTGAATCATTCTGGAGTATGTGTCTCCTCAACTGTATTGTGGTTTTCTGGTCTGTGTTCCTTACGCAATAAATAAATTCTTTTTCTTAAGTGGAAAAACAAGCAACTGAAATGAACAGATGTTTCAAAGAAGTAGAAATAGCAGGGGCTGGGGAGATGGCTCAGTAGAATAAGTGCTTGCCTGGCAAGCTCAAGGGTCTGAGTTCAATACCCGGGTCCACCAAAAGAAAAAAAAAAAAAAAATTAGAAATAGCCACAAGCAATTAGAGAAATGCAAATTAAAGCAACACTGAGATTCTGTCGTACTCCAGAAAGAATGACCACAGTTATGGCTTGTGTCTAGATACCCTTCCACAGCATTGTGTGGTCATATGTGGGGCTTTTCATAGGCTGGATCCACAGAGTGTGGCATTAGGATTGATTTGTGATGCAATCCTATGATCAAAAGCATTAGGATTAAGGATGCTACCTTAGGGCAGGTAGCCTGGCTAAAATATAAAGGACAGAAAGAAGCTTTTCAGGGGTCGATTTTGCTTTTGGATGTCTTCTGCCTGCTACAAACTTTCTCTTCTGCAATTCCCCTGCCATGCCACCATGCCTTGGAATGAGGTGACTACAGACTGAAACTGCTATGGACCGTAAGTCAAATAATGTTTGCACCTTTTAACACTGAGTGTCAGGAGTTTTGTCTCGGCAATGAGAAAAGTAACAAAGACAACCATCATCAAAAAATCAAATAACAAATGCTAGAGGCTATGGAGAAAAGAATTCTACACTGTTGTTGAGAATGTAAATTGGTACAACCACTATAGAATTCAGGGTGGAGGTTCCTCACAAAACTAAAATTAGAAATTCTGTAACTCATCAATTCTCCTGCAAGGCATCTTCCTGAAAAGAGTTAAAAGATATCATATTACAGTGAACCACGCATACCCACGTTTATAACAGCACAATGATGATAGCTCAGTTTTCACTGTGGTATTTACACACAGTGGAGTACTACTCTGCCATAAGGATGAACCTGAGTCATTTACAGGAAATATGGATGCACCCTGAGATAATAACGTTAAATGAAGTAAGTCAGACACTCAAATTTAACAATTTATGGTTTCTTTTCATGAGATACTGAAATTATAAACACAGAGTAAAGTAATGGATCATAGGTCTTTCTCAAATGGGAAAATCAGAGTTTAAGGGAGTAAAGGGGAGTAAGCTGTGTTATGTGCATGTCCCAATGCCATACAGAGGATATGTATGGCATATCACTTAAAAAAGAGAAAAATTTTAAAAAAGTAAAAGGCATTTCAGAAAGAGAAAACAGGAAAGGGAAAAAACGTTGCTAAAGAACACAGAAAAATTCCTAAAACTTAAAGAAAAAGGTTAAATAAAGACTGAGAATCTCCACCTGAATAACACAGGCTAAAGGAAATGGAAGAATAGTTATAAAATCCTAAAAGAAAATGATTTACAATATAGAATTCTATTTGTAAAACTTAAGGAAGACTATGGACATTTTACTACATAAATCTCAATTATCCTCATATCCTCTCATAAGTTTTACTACTGAGGGGTGTAGTCTATAAAATAAGGTAAATCAAGACAGAAAGATGTGGTATCTAGGTAACAGAATAACATCCAGAAGAGCTGAAAAATAAATATATGACACCTGAAAAAAGGAATAAAAATGAAAGATTACCTATCATCTTCAATAGCAATGAAACATTCATATCTATAAGTCTGGGAGATGAATTTCATATTGGTACAAAGAAAACAAAATCAAAAAGACTGCTAAGAGTGTAATTATACTATAAACATGCATCAGCATAAATCGCAAAGTGATTACTCATGTAAATGGAGAGAATGTACCATTCACAGCAGGAACAAAAGTGTAAACTGCAAAAGAAATTAAAGAAAGCATATTAGCTATAGTACACATCTAGAATACACAGAGGCTAATTAGAGACAAAAAACAGCTAAGAGTTGCTGACTGTGGTGAACAGGAATCTGGTGCCAGGAAGAAAGGGGGCAGAGTCATTAATTTCATTCAACTTCTAACTTCAACCCCACAAATTATTATTTTGGTAAAAATTACATTCAATTAAAGACAAGTCATTCCATAAAAACAGGAAGAAAGCAAGCAGGAAGTTCAGTGCTGTGCGTCACTTACCACACCGTGTAATTGGCTGCATTTAACTCAATGGCATCCCGAGTGAGCTGCAAGGCTCGCTCACTTCTTTCATCCCGCTGCAGAACAGCTCGGAAATAATCATAAACATCTCGGACTGGAGGCAGAGCACAAATGTGTCAGGACCACCTTTCTTATTTGAAACCAGTGCTGTAATCTAAAATGTTGATATACCTATGTGGAAATATATTTCATTTTCACGTGTATCATTTACACCAATAAACACAACAGTCAAATGACAGTGACTGCCATCCTGACAATACTCCATTGTAGCCACAAAGCACAGGGTGCACAGGTCTGTCTGCCCATGTGTATGCAGTTGGGTTAATGCCAGACTGCAAATCTCTGAGGATATTACATCAATCTAAGAGTGAACACATTTAAATATATTTCCATTGCTGTTTTTCTCACTTTTTATTTTGATCAGACTTTCAAATGAAAAAAATCTATGCAATGAGCTGGACATGGTGGCACACACCTGTAATGACTGCACTGGGGAGGCTGAGGCATGAGGGTCGCTAAAAGTTTGAGGCAAGCTTGAGCTACAAAGTTAGTTTTAGACCAACTGGATTGTACAGCCAGACCCTGTCTCCAAAAATCTCAACAATACAAAAAGGTTCACGGTAAATTTTTACTGTACCAAATTTCATGTACTCCTCAAAAACAAGCACTATTGATTTTAATGTATCCTTCAAATACGGTCTATGCACATGAATGGACGCTAATTCCATCCCTCAGTTTTATACAAATGAAATCTATCACATTCAATGCTTGCCCCTTGCCCTTTTCACTTACACCTCTTATTTTTTTTCTTTTTTTGCAGTACCAGGGATTGAACTCAGGAACTTGCACTTGCAAGGCAGGCACTTATGCCACTGAGCTATATCCCTGTCCCCTCACTTACACACTTTTAAAGATAATTTAAATTTGTGAAAAATCTACAGTTGTATTTGATAAAAAAAAAATTATTTGGTCATCTCTATTAAAAATTAAAATTGACATATACACTGATTTAAGAATTCTAGTTCTGGGAAGTTTTCTTACAAATATACCTCATATGGATGCTAAGCATCAAAAGATATTTACTAGAGTATTTGCTTGCATAAAAACAAATTGAGGAAACCACAAGAAGCTCTGATCAACTGCCAACTAGGATAAAAGTGGGTTACCAACAACTCACTACCGGCAGCTGATACGTGGCTTTGTAGGACTCTCCCTCCTCCCCAACGGGTAGCTAATGCCAGAACTGAATTAAACTGCAAAACAGCTAACTGGTGTCCACAGAGAACTAGAGAATTGTTTGGTACAGAAAACTCAGACACTTGGTAGCAGAATTATGAGATATGATTGAAAAATACAGTGAATGTTTAAGTACAGTAATCCCCTATTTCAAGGTTCAACTTTCACAGACTCACTGTTTCACAGGTTTTCAATTTATTTTATTTATTTATTTATTTATTTATTTATTTATTTATTGGTGGAACTGGGGATTGAACTCAGGCCCTTGCACTTGCCAGGGAAGCACTTATCCACTGAGCCATCTCCCCAGCTCCAAAAAATATTAATCTAAATTATTTGTCACACATTTTTCACTCTATTGTGGGATTTTGCAGTACCGTACAATATATGTATTGTTAATATTATGTAGGTTTACAAGTTTATAAAATGGTTAAGAACATTACAAATGTTTTTAAAAGTGTGGGAAAGGTTTGTAAGAGTGTGTGAAGGGTTTTCAAAGCCTTAAAATATATATAAGTAACAAAATAAATGTAATGTTGCTACTTCAATGATTTTCATGTGTTGTGCGGGTGTCTGGAACGTAACCTCTGTGATAAGTGAGGGCCCACTGTATTTTAAAAGTTACAGTGAAAGACACACTGCCCTTAATCCCCTCATTTCAAATGCTATTACAAAGCAGTTCTGGAAGCTCACTTTCCTGAATGCCTTTAATTGCAATGTCATGGCTACTACAGTATCCCGAACCAACTTAAAATGATTATCCTGCATGGTCATTTTGACTTTGGGGAAGAGCCATACCCAGGAATAATGGAGATGAGGGCATAATGCAATGTTTTTTGTTATTGTTTTGTTGCTTTTTTATCTTTTTTTTTTTTTTTGGCGGAACTGGGGATTGAACTCAGATCCTTGCGTTTGCCAGTCAAGCGCTTATCCTACTGAGCCATCTCCCCGGCCCCGCTTTTTTATCTGTTGTAGCCCAGGCTGCCTTCAATACGTAGCAATCTTCCTGCCTCAGCCTCTTGAATGCTAGGATTACAGGCATGCGCCACCACACCTAGCCTGTCATGTTTTTATGAGCCCGTGTTTCCACTGGATCAGACTATAACCCCAAAGTCAAAGTGTTAGACAAGGTCACTAACAATGACACCTCTTTACAAATTCTGAGGGTACGGTATTGCACTGCTGTTATCCCAGCAGTATGGGAGGTAGAGCAGGAGCATCACAAATTCAAGCCTTGCTGGGAACTTAGTGAGACCCTATCTCAAAATAAAGGGGGCTAGCCAGATAGCTCTGCGGATTAACGCACCTGCTTCGGCAGACGCAGGGGCTGGGGGTTCGATCCTGGGGGCTTGCTGTGCCAGTTCTGCCCCAGCGTGCACTGAGAGGGCAACTGAGACTGAGTGTGGTGGTGTGTACCTATAATCCAAGCACTTGGGAGCTTGAAAAATATAGAAGTATCACTATGAGTCCAATCTGCGTAGTGAGACCCTGGAGACCCTGTACTAAACACATAAAAAATAAAAAAATTAAGGAAAAGGGTGAAGATGTAATGCAATGTGAAGGCCCTGGGGTTTGTTCTGTTTTTCTGTGGGTTTTTGGCCATGGGTTTAATACCCAGTACTGCAATGCAAAATCTGAGACACACAGAGGTCTTTTAAACACTACCTTCAAAAAGTTGCCTGTTACTTTTTCTAGGCCAAAATTCCAAAATAGCATACATGTCAAACAACTACAGACTACTAAGTAATCACACAATGTTTCCCAATTTTGAATTTGTAACAAAATTCTTACAGCATGTTAACACTACACAGAATGTCTGTGTACATTATACACAAACTTCTCCATGTATATAATACAAATATATATACACACTGCTAAAATGATTAATGAGATAATCTGACTGCCACAGCTCCAGGACAATCAGGTCTAAGTTAACCTAATCCAATATGAACAGCAAAACCAAACAAATGCATCAGTCAGAAACAGTCAACTCACCACTTACTAAACAGAACTTCAGGAGCCAGGGATATAGCTCAATAGGACAGTGCCTACCTGGCAAGTACAAGGTCTTCAGTTCGATTCCCAGTACCAAAAAAAAAATAAATAAATAAATAAACAGAACTTTATACATTAGTTTATTTCTGTAAAATTCCTCTTTTTTGTTCTATTTTGGGTTTTATGAGACAGGGTCTCACTATCCAGTCCAGGCTGCGTTGAGCTCATTACCTGACTTAGACTGGCCTTAAACTTGTAGTGATCTGCCTACCTTAGCCTCCTGAGTGCTAGGGTTACAGGCACACACCACCAAACCTGGTCTCTAGAATTAACTTTATATTAAAATACTCTTTTAATTTGAAAATTAGAAGCTCAACTGGGCAGGTGCTTTAGTCTGCTGAGCTATCAGGCCGGCCCTTTCTTCTTTATTTTGAGACATTACTGGTTTATTCTTTTTCTTTCTGTGGACAGCTCAGCCCACCCTGGGGGCAGGGTTGGTGTGGCATGTGGTGCCGGGATTGAACCATGGTCCCTGAGCTAGCCTAAGCTTACCTAAGCAAGTGATTTAGACCACTGAGCTATCTTGCCAGCCCCTGGCTTATTCTTGCCTTGTAAACATTCCTTGTCACCCTAGGTTCAATCTCCAATACTAAAACAGATGTAAAAAAGAGAAAAGGACAGCCCTGGGCTAGGGACTTTGCAAATAAAGGTTATTTAGGCATCACCTGCATGGAAATGGGATCAGCTTTGGAATAATAAAAGAATTAGTATCACCCCTTCTGTAAACTTTGGTTTCTCTACTCCCTCTATATTGTGAGCTTTCTTATTCACAAAAAAAGCTTGTAAAACCATAAAATGAATTCATCATAAGTAATTGAGACCCTTATTAAATGACTCCACAGTTGTGAATTTGAACTCTGCTACTAAGTTTGACTTACAGATCTTTCCCTAATAAAAATAAACTTACATTTTTCACTATAGATGATCTGCACCACTGGATTGGGACCATCGTTCTGTGGCACTGGATCTATATCAGCCCACTCTGCTCTGTCCCTGAAAAATAGACATTTTTTTCAGTAATTATGTTCAAACACATTAAAAGAAAAAGAACTCTGCTTTTTTTAAAAAATAGCATAATCATATTAATATTCTAGAAACTTAGGGATCTTAAAAGCAAAAATAAAATTAAAATAAAACAATCTTTGGATTTTAAAAGCTCATAAAACAGACAATAGGAAGCAGAGAAAGGTGATTAAGAAACAGGGCCGAAGAGATAGGAGAGGGACTAGAATAAAAAAAGAAATGGTGATGTGTTATGCTCCTGTACCAACTCCACATAAGCCATGTACACATGGACTACACACATACTAATAAATTAAAAGTTTAAAAAAGTTTAAAAATTTGAAAAGTCTATATAAGTCAACATTTTTCAAATTTTAGGTTTTATGAAAGGTAAAGCCAGTTTCTGCAGCAAGTATATAGCAGTTTAACTTAAAAATCAATTTTACTCAGGGTCCCGGCTCTGTTGTTTACCCAACCTCTCTGTACCTCAGTTTCTTCATCTGAAAAGTGTGGATAATAATAATGTGCTGTCTATATGGATATGTGATAAAGAAAACGTTAAAATTAAAAATCAACCTTACTCATTTCTGTCAATATTTTTTTTAAAATCTGAATAGTTTAATAGAAATTGACATTTTTAAAGTAAAATTAAATACTATTACTATATCTTACTGCCCACTACAGAGGTGGCCCTGGTAGTCATTCATACATCAAGCTCTAACACAGTTGTGGCAAACCTTTCAGAGCTTTCAATGATTACAAATTGCCGCTGCAGCATGCATCCCTAGGTTCTACGCCACTGCTCTACGGGCTGAGAAGGCAGCTTGGTGGTAGAGTACTCACTTGGGCCCACTCAACAGGTGACAGCAGATTCTGGAACCTGACAAAGGCCTATGCCAGGATATCAGCCCTATTATCTACTAGCTGTGTGCCCTTCCAGAAGTTACTTAACCTCTCCAGGACTCAGTTTCTTATTTATTTATTTGGTTTTTTTGTATTTTAGGGAAGGGTCTACAGGGTGTTCAGGGTCTCACTACTAGACCAGACTCGTAGTGATCCACCTGTTTACAGCCTCCCAAGAGCTGGGATTAGAGGGACACGCCAGTACACCCAGTCTCAATTGCTGTCTCAGCGAACCCCAGCCCCTGCACCTGCCTGCAGGCACTTTAATCCGCTGAGTTATTTGGCTGGCCCCGTTTCTTCTTCTAAAATATAACAGAATGACAAAACCATTTAATGACTACTACTCATTATCAATGCTAAAATAGCACTGTGGAAACAACAGATGCTTGTTCAATATGAATTGCCAATGTGAACAAATTTTAGCTAGTCTTTTATTTATGCAAGGGGTGATCAAACCGGACAGTGAATGTTTGATATGCACTCACAGGTGGGCATTTGGGAGGTAACTGGATCCTGGGTGTGTGATATTCAGCACTGCATTAGGCCATCACATTTTTCACTATAGATGATCTACATGACTGCATTGATGTGATGGGTATGACACTGAGGTGTGAAGTCTGGTTGGATGATGCGGACTACAGTGAGCCTGGCCTCAGAGGGTTACATCCTTCTCTGCTTCCTGTCTACCATGCCATGAGCTCTTTCTCCTCTGCTACGCCACCCTGACCTGGAGGTAGCTGACAGTGGACTGAAACTTCTACAAACTGTGAGCCAAAATAAAAATTTCCTCCATTAAACTGTAGCTGTCTGATATTTTGTCCATGCAATGAGAAAGTAACTAATACTTAATTTTTTTAAAAAAAACTTACTACTTTAAGGACCATTTTGTATATATACAAAATAGCATAGATATACAGCTATTTTCTTTTAATTCAGTAAGTTTTCAACTAATAGTGTTTAGACAAGATATCATGTCTGCATCTTGTACTATCTATAACTACTACAAAGACAACAATATGCAATGTATTAATTATTCTAACTGTCCGACTAACCTGTTTTGAAAATGTCTCATTGCTACTTCTTTCTCAATAAAATTAATATTAAAAAAAACTTCCTATTTTGTAAGACATACTGGCATTAATCCCCCTCAAATTATTTTCCCTCACTTTAAACACATTCATACCACTGTTCTTCCCAAATCGTTAAACAGACCTGGAAGTGCTCTTTACTGAGGGTCATTCTGAGGTGCCCGCTACTATCCAACTGAAACGACACTCAGAAAGAGGACTTCCAGGACTGCCTGAGACAGCAGGACAGCAGGATAAGTGTGACTGAATGCACAGCGAGCATCCTGGTGGGGGCTCAACACCAATATGTTACTCTAGTAATAGTTTAAAAATGTAAGTATTCAACATACTTTTCTCTTTTTCTTTCGTAGTAAACAATACACACCTTTATTGGTGGTCCTGTTTTTCTGTCACACCATGTATTCTTTTCCTTTCACCCATTCTTGCTAGACAAATGCTTATACTGCTGAGCTAGCTCCCCAGCCCACGCCCATTCTTTACAGCTGTATACTGAACAGTTTTTGACAGCAAATACTGTGCCATGTAATATTAAAACTGTGTTCCTCACACATACACACAAGGAAATACAGGGAATCAATGACTTGAAATGTGAAACTTAGAGCCTCAGGGAGTGACATGGAAAACTGTCACTGGGAAATCAAACACAACACGAAGAAACTAAACATTTCACAATACAGAGGCTTATGAGACAACAACAGGAATTTTAATCAGTAAGAACAGTAACTCCAACAACAATCAACCCTCTAGACTGTGATTTTCACGCATACATAAAATCAAGCAAATAAACCATTTAAAGGGGTTTAGGTAGAACTACAGAACAAAAGACTTCTGGATCGCTCACAAGGAGCTAGTGAATGCTACTACTATGTGAAAGCAATGGCAGTAAGGGTTGAGAAGGTAGGGGAAAAGGCAAGAAAGTTACGGCAGGACTTTGACATGATTTGTATTGCAGCCGAGGTTGTGCAGGGTTGCATAACTGACTTTAGGCCACAAACCTCTTCATGTTTATTATTCATGCTGACAAACTACCTCGGCGCCTGGCTAACTGAGGCACTAAGTTAAAAGTAAACGTTTCAGCCCTTCAGATCTTACCTTAGCTCTGTTATTCCAGCAGAACCACGGAAAACAATTCCAGCTCCTTTTTAAAATAGAGCAAACATGGCCCTGATTTTGAAACTAAAAATTCTTCTTGGCACGCTATCAAAACTGCACCCTAACGCTGCCGTAGCGGGTACGGTTAGTACCCACGGAGCGTTCTGAAGCAGGGAAGCGAGCGGGAAGTTTCTTACAGGTGTGGAGAGCGGCAGCCGCACCGCTGGAGAAAGTACCCTCCAGCGCTCCGTACTCTGCCACCGCGGGCGGGAAGCGCAGGGCTGCGGGGCTGCGGGCTTGGCCGCGCCTCGCCGCGCCAGCAGGAGCCCCGTCCCACGTCCCCCGCGCCGGCCTCGGGCGTTACCTGTACAGGACGTAGGTGGGCGAGTCCAGGCTCAGGAAGCCGTCGTCCATAGGGGACGCCACGGCTTCCGCGGCCTCAGCTGCCATCTCGTCCTCCTGTGGCGGCTGGGGCGGCGGGGGATGAGGCTGTGGCGGAGGCTGCTCGGGTTGACCAGGCTCGCCGCCCTGCGCAGGCTCCCCGACCCCCTCCGTGGCCGCCATCTCGCCCAGGTCCGCAGTTCAGGCCGCGCGGAGGCCACACCCCCGGCCTCGCCCGCGCCCTGGTCTCCGCGCCCGACTTCCGGTTCCTGGCGGGCCGGGCCGTCCTACCGCGGAAGCGCGGGCTCGGCGGGCCGGTGGGCGGAGCTGCGCTGCGGCCGGGGCGCCGCACTTCCGGGAGCCTGGAGGCGTAGGCCTCCGTCGGGCCGGAAGTGCGCGTGGGGGGGTGCGGCGGGCGATGTGCCGCGTGGGGTGGGCTCTCGTACCCTTGCGGGGTCTCTCCGGTCAGTCTCAGTGAGACGGGTTTTGAGACCCTTCGAAGGCCTTTATGCCCTGCCGAGACTTTCTAAACTGGATTTAATTTTGATAAGGGGAAAATATAACTCAACCTGCTAGATGTCTGATATGCCGATTTTGTGCCACTCTGAGTGAAAAAATGAATTCCAAAAGACAGAGGAAGTTTAGAATAGGAAAGATTTATATAGAGAGTTGCTGATGGACAGGAAGAGTCTTGAAAATGGGTTGCCACTAGGGCCCTTTGTAATAATTAATTTTTTTGTTGGTCCAGGAATCGAAGTAAAGACATTGGGCTTGCTAGGCAGGCACTGGTCAAGAGTAATTTATACAGCAAGCGTGGGTACAGAGGTCAAAAATGACCAACCAGTAAGGTTGCAAATAACTGCAGAAAGCAAACCAAACAGGAAGAAACAGTACTGGTGGGTTTAAGAGTCAGGTTATTACACCAGTGGGCTTCTAACTAGGATTTTTCCAAGAGTCAGGCACCACCACCCCCGCCTCCAAGGAATACGGAGGCTTTTAAAGGGAAAGTGAGTGAGGCGGTAGAAAAGCAGCTTTGGCACATTATGATTGGAGGATTAGGTAACATCTTGGGTTGCTAAAGGAATCTAAACATTTGAGGTTGTATCACAAGTCCATTAGTTATGCAAAGCATGGATTAAACAGGAGGAAATGTCCTGTTACGTTTTGAATTACATTGCAAGGTCATCAGTTATACAAAGGCAGTAAAAGGGTTTACACAAAGGAAAAGGTGTCCTGCTATCTGGCCTGCTGGACATGTCCACGATAGTCTTGGCAGCCATCCTGGGTAGGCTTTTATTTAAAATTATGATTTTCCCCTTCAGTATAGCCTCCTAGCTAATATTGATCCAATAGATAAGTGAGGCTCATAGCAAGGAGTCATGACTAACATTAACAGTGGCTTATCTGTGACTTCTAAAACAGGAACATTTTGGGGAAGGGATGGATCCTGGTATTCTGGTCACCCACCCAGGTGTCTGATGCATAGATGGATGTCATGAGCTGCTTGGTACTAATTTCAGCATACAGTCCCTGACTTAAAAACGTTCAAACTATAAACTTTCACAGATACAGACCTCACATTACTACAGTCATAGGTACAAATTGCAGAAGTAACTCATGTATCTACCTTACCATTTTAAGATAACTGTAAAAGTAAAAATAATTTATTAGCAGTATTTGTGTCAGTTTCTTTTTTATGCTTTACATTGTATGATTCTGTCAAAGATGTGTAAGACTGTTGGATTTATAAATGATCCAACTTACTAATGTTTTTCTGGAATGGAATCCATTCATAAGTCAGGGACTTAATATAGTCTCAAGTTCCACTGGTCTCTTAAGGAATTGTATCTATCTAGCCATTGTGACTTTATCTTGAGGACTTCTTCAGATGCACTTCCAGTTACAATTCTGATGTCTTTATCACTGACTTCCTTGGGATCCTAGTCCCTCTCAGTATATTAATTTCTATCAAACTTAGCTACCTATACTATTTGTTCTCTAAAAGAACCACCCGTAACTGTGGGTATGGGAGAATGGGCATAGTTTCAGTCTAACTACTTTGAGCTAAAAAGGGACAGAGTAGGGAAGACTAAAGTAAAGGATCTTCTCCAGAGAGCTAATATAAGAGGCCTTGGATAGAAGTCGTGTTGGGGTTTAGCAGTTATGAACTTTATAAGTTTGATCAATGAATCCCAGTACAAGAAGTCTGGTACATGTATAGTTGGTTCCATCTGCGTGATCACTTGGAATTTGGTTCTAGGTGAGAATAAATAAGTTTTCCAATAAATTAAAGCACACACAAGCAATGATGGAGCAATAGACTGCAAAGGAAGATTGGGGAAACAGCGACATGCAGACACTGATCTTAAGGGACTGGAATAGTGATCATAACTAGCTGGCCCCCCAATTTATTAATGGAGGTTATCTAAACTCTGATATTTCCTTGTCACAAGTCTCTCCAGTTTCAGATGTAAGATGCATTTGAGTGGTTTTGAGGACAGTTTTAATTAAGGAATTTAAAAATTCTTGTTGAGCTTTTATAACTTCCAGTGTAGCTTTTTAGCCTCCCTGAATCATAACAGTAATAAGATACAGGTGTAGCTGAAAAATGCAAGCAGAGGTCAGTGGTTAGAGCCCTTTTTCTCTTTCTACCCTTTATTACTGTTGTATTTTCATACATCTTTAGGTTGTACTTTTCTGCTGGGTGCTTAAGATCAAGGTAAAGTGAGACCTGTGTCAATCAAAATTAACCTAAAAAAATAACCTCTCACCATATATGAGGATCAGTTAAAGCTCTTCAGGGATTACTTTTAGAACCAGGTACAGAGCATTTTAGCTCCTCTGTCAGTTTTATTGACAAGGATGGGTCACAGTCTTGCTTGACCATATGGCTGCCCATGAAAGCATGGGAGACATTTCTGCCTCCCTGACCCTCCTTTTCGGCACACTGTATATTGGCTAACTCCTGTTCTCTGGGGTACAACAATGCAATAATTAATGTTACAAGAATCTCCCTGCTTTCAAGTTTGGATGACTCACCAAAGTTGTAGAACCCTGTAGAAAAGTTCCCTGCAAGTCCTTGGTCTTTCTTAATATGGGAGGGCCAGGGCCCAAATATTGGCTGTCCTCTTACCAGTTATCTTTTTGTCTCTATTCGCCAAACCTCAGTTGTTAAATACTTGTAGAATAGTAGAAATATGGGAACTGTTATTTTTACCAAACACAATCATCTTAGAAGTCAAATTCTCGTAGAATGCTAACAGATAAATTTTCAAGATCAAGGGCAACATAGTATTTTAGTGTGACAATCATGATAATATTATTATCTCTGAAACAGTGGGGGTTTTTTGAGAAAGGGTTTTGTTTATGTAGTCCAGGCTGACCTAGAGTTCACTATGTAACCCAGATGGCCTCAAACCCATGGCAATCCTCTTGCCTCAGCTTCCACAGTGCTGGGGTAATAGGCAAGCATTACCATGCCCAGCTTTGAAACAAATTAAAATTTCCACTTTAATATAAAAGAATTTTTTATTCCATTACCTGTATAGCAACAAATTGTGCCCAATTTTGTCATCCTTTGATAGAATAGCATCAAAGGGGAATGCACCTGTCCATAGATATACCTTATGGGCTATTAATATCCAATTTCTAATCTGTAGAGTGAGATTGCCTGGACCACATGTTTGGGTATCATTAACTGTTATAACACAATTAGGTAACAATCATACAAGCACAAGCCTGAAAGTGTATTAGCATCATCTGGCTAGCTGTCTCAGATTGGATTGGCATGCGCATTTCATCACAAATACTTGGAACACAAGTAGGGGAGTGACAGATGCTTGAAGATAAAAGGTTTACCAGTATGAACAACTTTAGCTGGAAACCACCAGAGTGAGAAGATGATTTCAGTTTGTTTCTATGAAGATCTGTAAACTTGAGAAACACAAATATACCTCTTAATATAGCAGTAATTTGTGTTACAACTGTATAGAAATTGTATATATTTATTTAGTTTTTATACTAAGACAAAATTTAGATTTTTTAAAACAAGTCTCACAGAGTATAGCTCCACTGACAAGAATTAGACATTTTAAAATTCTGATAAGGGGGCCAGCCAGATAGCTCAGCAGACTAAAGCACCTGCTTAGGCAGAGCGCAGTGGCCAGGGTTCGAACCCTGGCACCACAAGCTGTGCCAGCTTTGCCCCCAGGGCACGTTGAGACAGCAACTAAGACTGGACATGGTAGCATGTGCCTGTAAGCCAGGCACATGGGAGGCTAAAAACAGGAGGATCACTACGAGTCCCGATCTATGTAGTGAGACTTTGTAGGCCCTGTAGACCCTGTACTAAATACATTTTTTAAAAAAAGAGAGTTCTGATAAGTTTAGGAAACAGTGTTAATTATGACTGCAAATAGACTTATTACCCAATGTACAAATGTATCTTATTTATCCATAACAAAGTGCTTCTTTAGTCAAAGCCAATAGGTAAATGTAGATCAACTTTCAATTTCAGGACAAATTTGAAGAGATGTTACATTTTGAGCATTTTATATCTTTAAAGTCTAAATATATATTGTAGAAAACAGAGTTCTTAGATTTTACTTTTTATATATTGAACATATATAGACTTATCAAATAAAGTTTAAAGTTGAGAGATACCCAGTCCTAGCCCAGGTCC